ATTTTAAAGGTAATTTAGTTTTCTTTTAATTCTTCTCAATTATTTTTTTGATGAAATTTTCTAAAAATAAATTCTTCTTTTATATTTTTAAACTGATTAATTAATAAATTATAATGTTTATCATCTTGCAGATATTCTAATAGATAAATCTATAAGAAAATCTTCTAAGTAATCCTTTAGATTTATTAGAAGATACAATATTATTATTTAAAATAAGTTTTGATTCATCATTTATTAAGCTTTCATATAATTTTGCAATATTTATTTCTATTTTTTTCAATTCTTTTAATGTGCTATAAAGTATAACATATAACTATAGAAAATTATTTTTATCTAATAAATTATAATTTCATTATGAAATAGTATCTTTAAAATAGTAACTTATTGAAGCATTTACCAATTTTTATTCTTGCTTTATATATAAATTCACATATTTTTTTTCAATTTATTCTTTAGAAGAAAGTGACTCTAATGTATAATTATAACTAATATTTTCAAGTTTTCTTTCAGAATTTATAATATTAACTCATTTTTTAATACATTTAATTATATTAAGTAGAACATGACTTTATTGCATTCAAATAAAGCTTTTTAAACATTAGTTCAAAAGACTAATAAATTTATTAGTTATTAATCTTATAGTAGTTTGAGAAATTTAATATGTTTAAATAAGCAAACAATTATTCTAAGGAAAAATGTATTTGTAACAACATGTTAAATATCTTATTTATAACCACCTTTTTTATTTTTCTTTATTTTAAATATTTTATAAACGATATTTTTATATACAAAATTTAATTTGGAAAACTTTTAATTAATGTACTAAAGACAGTTTCATATAAACAGTTTCTAAATAAGACGCGTAACATGTTACAATTAGATTAATTTTTTAATTTCAATGATCGGCTTAAAAATTTTTTACACGTGCAATTTATTATTTACGAGTAACGAATTCTTGACGAGAATTACTCGTTTGATATTATGGGTCGGAAAAAGAAAAAGAGAAACGCAAATCAAATCGGTATTCCCGCACAACGTGCAGAAAGGAAAAACTATGAAGAAGCTGAAAGAAAGAATGTAGTCTTTGAAAAATATTATAAGGTATATGATATAGAAAGATTTTTCTTTTTTTTAATATATTAAGGATAGTAATTTGAATATCATGAGAAATAACCTGAACAGGATGTTTGTAGAGATAGTTACGGATTTTAATTAACTCCTCACTATTTTTTTTTTTTATAATAAAAGGATCAAAATATAATTCCTGATGAAACTGAATGGAAAGAATTCATGGAAGTTAATACAACAATTCTTCCGACAGCATTCCGAATCACAGGAAGCAGAAGGTAGACAATATCTTTTAAATATATAAATTATTTCTTCAAAATTTTATTGCCAGAAACTAACCAATCATTCTTTATAGTCATGCTTTTGAATTAAGAGATTTAATGAAAAAAGAACATGTTCCAAAATTAAAGCAAATTCAACTTGAAATTGATCAAAAAGTTGAACCCATAAAGTCATTACCTTGGTAAATAATAAAGGAATTATTTGATTTTTTAAAGTGGAAAGTTATTAAAAAATTTGACCTTAAGGTATCCAGATGAACTTGGATGGCAGCATTCTGCTTCTAGAATGACGATTAAAAAAAATCCAATATTCCAAACTTTTCATAGATGGCTTGTTACAGAAACTGAAGTGGTATGTTTAAATCATCTTATTCGCTACGGAAGAAAAATTTGTAAGGTTCTCGTTTTAAATATCATTACACATAGGGAAATATAAGTCGACAAGAAACTGTTAGTATGATCCCACCTTTGTTATTAGATGTTAAACCTCATCATTGGGTTCTTGATATGTGCGCAGCTCCCGGATCAAAAACTGCTCAACTCGTCGAGGCTATTCATGCTAATGATGCACAAGAAATTGAAATTCCACGTAAGTCAAATTTGTTAAGAAACGCGTAAAACTAAACAATTTCTCAACGCACCCTTACTGATTTTATTTTAGCCGGAATTGTTATTGCGAATGATTCCGATTCTAAAAGAAGTTACATGTTGGTTCATCAAACGAAACGATTGAGAAGTCCGTGTTTATTAGTCACGAATCATGACGCTCAACATTTCCCCAATATTCACTTAAAGGAGGTAATATTGATAATAATCGATTATCCAATTGTAGCTTTTGATATTAACCTTCTTGTTGATAATAGGTTTCTTCACCTGTACAGTTTGATCGAATTTTGGTGGATGTTCCGTGTAGGTGAGTTATAATTTTTGATGCGTGTTCGAAAGTTTTGAAATTTTGTTAAAGCATTAACATTTATGTTGTTAATTCAGCGGGGATGGAACTATGAGAAAGAACTTGACAATATGGTCAAATTGGAAGATTGGAAATGCAATTGGACTTCATCCGTAAGTATAAAATTTATAATTTTCTATAAAAAATGGAACAGGTCTTGATTTTTTTATTAAAGCCTAATTACACATTTACAAGAACTCAGGTAAATATTTTACTTCGTGGAGCACAACTCGCAAAAGAAGGAGGACGTCTCGTATACTCGACATGTTCGCTCAATCCTTTAGAGAACGAAGCTGTGGTTGCAGAAGTATTACGACGGACAAAAGGAAATTTAATACTTTTAGATGTATCCGACCGCTTACCTGAATTGAGAAGAGCTCCTGGAATGACGTCGTGGAAGGTAACATATGATTTTGTGCGTATTTGTAACAAAATTTCATTGGATAAGTGATATTTAGTACTTTTTTAAACAACAATTGTAGGTAATGAATAAGGAAGGAGAATGGGTTAATTCATTGGATGATATTAATCCCAGATTTCGCAAAAAGTACTCGAAATCACTTTGGATGCCTCCAGATGTTGAAAATTTAAATTTAACGAGATGGTAATTTTAGAGATTTAGCTAATATGACAAAGTATCTTTTGAAAAAAATATTTAACTTTCTTTATTTAGTCTACGAATTTATCCTCATTTTCAAGACACTGGAGGATTCTTCATTGCTGTCTTCGAAAAAATAGGTCCAATAAAAGATATTAGTGTACTTGAAGATGATGGAAAAAATCCAATAGCTGTCAATGATATTGAAGCTATCGATATTTCAGTCGAACCTGAGTCAATAACAATTGATGATGAAATAATTAACAAAGACATTGATCAAGATTTGGATAACGAACCCGTTCTTATAAAGAGACCTCCAAGCATAGATCATCCTGATGAAGAATCAAATAAACGAACAAAAACGAGCGAGAGTATGCCGGTTTCTGACCATAATGATAAAAAAGAAGATAAGAATTCAAGGAAAAAGAGGCAATCAGGGGAAGAAATTTTTATATTTTTGGAACAAAATAATGAAGACATACCTTTAATCAGGTTAGATTTAATATAATTTTCATGAATTTTCTGAAGACAGAATTATGAATAACTTGAACCTATTATTTTGATCCAGAGAATTTTATGGTTTATCTGAGGACTTTCCAGTCGACCATTTACTTGTTCGATCAGAAAATGAAAAAAATAGGACATTATATCTCGTATCAAATTCGGTAAAACGAGTATTATTAGCAACGGACGTACACAAATTGAGGGTATTTTAACATTGTGATTGCGTTTTTTATTTCTTCTGACAACGTATTTAACAATTTTGAAATTATAGCTTGTGAACACGGGGATAAGGACATTTACACGACAAGAGACTAATGAACCTGTTAAATGTCCATTTAGATTTAATGCGGAGGGTATGTATACAATATATCCTTATTTATCCAATAAAAGGGTTATAAATTTTGGATTGAAAGAAGTTAGAATTTTGTTATCGGAACCTACTCCACTTTTTGATCGATTTGATGAAAGGATTAGAGATAAATTGATAGCATTTGGTATGTATATATGTTAATGATTGTTATTTAATTATAATAGATGAAGAATCTAATATGATATTAAATGATTTCTAGAAGGAGGATGTATTGTAGCATATACTGATCCGTCTCAAGAAAAAGAGGCAGTGTATGTTTCATAAATATAGAATATGATTGTCTTTATTCATTTGATTAAAAGATTATTATCATTATTATTATAGATTTCGTACAAAGATACCCATTGTATTACCCATCTGGAGAGCACCAAAGTCGTTAAATTTGTTATATCGAAAGGAAGATCGAAAGTAAATATATCATTTTGTCACGTAAAAGTTTATATGATGTTATATACTTTTGATATTAATTTTCTTTTATTAAATAGAGCGTTAGAATTACGAGTTCAAAGTTATTTTGAAGAACAATCAAAAGCATCGTTGGATTCAAACATCCAAATTAATCCAAATCTACCATAAAATTTTAATAATTTAAACGATTTAAAAGAAATAAAAGGATTATTTCGCAAATATAAATATAATGCAATATTAATTTTCAAGTTTCAATTGGTTTTAAATCAAAATAAATTCGAATGAAAATTTCATCATGTGACATTAATTAAAATCTTCAAAGGCCAAAGTTCGCTCTTCATTTTCAATACACTTTCGTTTCAATGATTTGTCTTATTAAACATTTTAAAGATCGGATGGGCTAAAAAGGAAATATTTTTTTTACAAAAGGTGGAAATTTACAATGTGTAAACCTATAGAAACAGTTCGCAAATTTTTAAAAATGTAAGAATAATAAAATTTTGCATTAAATTTTTGTTTTAATATTAAATATTTATTTCGGTGCATTTTTCACTCAACCTAAAACCTTAATTTCAGAGTATTAACGATGTCTTTTTTTTGTGATTATTTACTTGCGGCATATCATCAAAATAAAACAAAGTCTTTATGATTGTAATAATAGAATATCGCATCATTTTTACAAATTCATCCAAGAAAACGTCTCTCAACAAAACTTCTTGATTTGGGTCAGAATATTCGATAAGTTTGATTATATAAACAACATAAAATGAGCCAATCACTAATGACATAATAAACATATCTAATCACGTTAATTGATTGTTACTCTTTATCTTCTTCCATAAAATCGGGGTTCTTTCGTAACAAAACGAACCCTTCAAGAACGTGAGATAAAGATATGTCTATTCAAAAAAAAAAAAAAAAGAAGAAAAAAATTGTTAAAGTATAACAAAATAATTAAAATAATAATTATGAAAAAAATATGCATAAAATCTATTATAAAGACCATATTTCACGTACATTCTTCTGTAGCCAACTCCGCACGTTCTGAATGTGCCAATAATACAGGTGTTGAATGAGTTTGAAATCCTGTAATAGTCTTTGGTCTTCCTGCTTGTCCCACTACATCAACAGCCTGTCCAACGCGAACAGTAACTGGCAAGCTATTTAAATTTTCGTCAAGTGTAATCAAGAATCTTGGATACATTGCTGTGACCAAATAATATAAGAACCAATGGTATCTACCCAGTATAAATGTTTTGATATCAGTAAAAGCAATTAGGGTCGTCAAAAGGCCAGCTATACCAATAGGAGACATTAATTGACGGTCGGAATGATATGGATTGATTGATATCGTTCCTTTACCCATATGCAGCAATCCCTAAAATTGATATCCTGTCAATAAGAAATATTAAATACTATGGTATATATGTCCTTATAATAACATCTTTTACCTGCGAGATTCGAACCATAAATAAACAATTTGGCTCTTTATGATAATATGATGCAAGTTGCCTCAACATTTGTGCTAATCGAGCATTGTTCGTTCCTGCGCCAACAAGACCCATAGCAAATATAGCATTGATAGCAACGTCTGGATCATTATCGTGAGAATACTTACTTAATGTTTCGAGAACATTAAGAAGTGGATTAGAAGCACACAGCAATCCTAATGCTAGAGGAACTGCGCGACGAATCACTGGTTCACCATAGTGCATCTGTTATGAATATTGTGAGTAAATATGATAGTATGATCTCAGATTCGAGGTTTAATAATTGGAGAGCTTTTGAAAACCCACCAAATGGTTAAATGACCTCAATGCCATTTCAGCACCAACATCTTCACCCATGGCTATCAAAGCTACGCCCAATACGGCGAAAGCTTGATGTAAATCATCTTCTTTCTCTTTATCTAAATGGTCATTGCATGCATGCAACATCTTCTGAATTTTAAGTACATTTCCAGTTCCTTAATAAAAAAAAAAATTTCATATTAATTATATGAAAATACGAAATGCCTTTAATCAAATTAAAATCGTACTCTACCTGCATAAGAGCAAATTTCTACCAAAACTCCGACTTGTTTACCAATAGGATGCTCAATAGCTTTCAAAGTTTCAAGAGTTGCTTCAGCAGCATCTTGCTTTCCTATTAATGAAGATTATATTTAACCTCACTTTTAATTCATACGAATAAATAATAAATGTATAACAAAGCTTACCGAGATACAGCAAAGCTAATCCAAGGCCCATAAACCTTCCCCAAGTTTCTTTTAACTGAGTATCTTCGCGTTCCATCATTGTTTGCAATATCGTACTTGTGATGTCTCCATCACAAGATCCTACAAATACTAGACCCAACGACAAAGCTGCGAGTGAAGCTATTTCCATATTTAAAGCAGTATCGCTAATGAAGGGGGACAATAGGTCCCGAACATCTTCTCTATGGGACCCAGAGTAAGCCATACCAAGACTAAACAATAATTGAATTGAATGCATATTTGCACGGTTTTAAAAAAATTAATTACATCTTTTCCCTTACCCAACTATAGCGCTAGTTCGCATCATCGCGTTTTTTTGATTGTGAATATGTTCTAAAAGCAACGCGAAAGCTGGATCATTTTCATTTCGAACTCCAGTATTTATAAGCCCGATGGCAAGTATAGCTCCAGCCTACAATGAAAATGAAAACATTATTGTACAAATAAAAATTATATCCAAATAGTATATAGTATGTCGGCTTTTTATGTGCATATATAACGTACTTTAATATGGTCCTCATTGGAATACAAATATTTATCTACTTTTGATAATCCATCGACGTCCCATAACATGATCATACCGATGGAAGCGGCCGCACTCAACATTCCTACAAATCAAAAATTAAATTTGTTAAATTAACAATGACTCACTAATCGCATTATTCTGTTTAACATGTTATAGTTATTTACCATGATCTTTATTTTTATAAATCCATGTGTTACCATCCTCTATTGAAATTAATTTGTCATTTACAAATCCAGCATTAACAAAAGCATTCACAAAAGTGGATGCTAAATTTTGTCGTGCCGAATCAACACTACCACTTGCAAAACCCGGTCCTAAAGACAATTATAAAAATGTTCAATTATAAAATATATACACACACATATTAAGTAGAAGCTACTAACTGATATTTTCTAGATGACTCTTGTAAATGTCTTCTGGAGTTTTTGGCTCGAGAACATCTAACTCTTTTGCAAGGGCAATGAAATGTTTTGTTAGCAATGAATTACTCATTATTTCTTTAAGTTCTTCGTCTTCAATCTCGGGAATGTCAATTTGTTGCCTTCCCAATTGAAAAGCGATTTGTTTCTGCAAAAGCCTACAAATAATTGTCAATTATAAACAACACATTCCTTTTTAAACAAAATTGAATTGAAAATCTTATTATATTTTTATAATTCATAATTAAAGAAAACATACAGATCTATATGTCCCGCTGCCTCAAAATCTTCCCTTATCAACTTATTGTCCCCAAGGCGAATAGCTAATGACACAGCTTCGGTATATTTGTCATGTTGACGATAAATTTGATGAGCTGTGCGTAAAAATTGTACATCATCCGGAGGTACTAACAAGTTAACACAACTAGTATATTTTATATAATATTCAGTAATGTAAAAAAAAAGCAAGTAAATTCACGTTTTAAAAATTATTAATAATTTGCATTTGTACCTAACCATATATAAGCAAACGCGCGCATATGTATCAACATCTACATATTGAGGTAATTGATCAATCATCTCCAACTCTAATAATAAGTCAACAGCATCGGCTTCGGCATTATGCTTCAAGAAAAATGGGACAATCTCCAAAGCAAGATTCATGAGATCATCCGTGCCAATCTCATTCTCTGTACGGTGAAGATATTCCTGACCGATTTCGGTTGACAAATGTCTTGATTATATATGAGAGAATTGTAAGCCTAAAGTTAAAATTAAATTCGTGATAAAAAGAGTTGAATACTTACCGTACGTATTCGTGTCCCCAAGAGCCTGGATCTTCACGTGATCCCTGCAATCTATATCTCAAGGAATCTCTTTTGCCCTCATCATAAGTCATTGCCAACACTGATAAAATGTCTGCAAGAAATGACTATAAACACGAAAGACAAAGATGTATGGTTTAGAGAAAAATTACTAATATAGACGGTTTATAATTATATGATCGATCGATCACCTTGTTATCACTTGGTGGCCAACTTTCGTAAACTTCAGTTATAGTAACATAATGAGGTCTTAAAAACTTCAACGGTTTTGGAACAGAAGTCATCGAGCTGGTAGACGTACGAATCGATGTTCGAAGGCTTTCCAATGCTGATCTATGAAGACTAGCATCTCCTTCCTATACCAATTAATTGTTCATTATCTTTTTAATAATTGCTCTTAATTGATCAAAGTTAAATTGGTTACAATTGATTTATGTACTCACTTTTAACCTTTCTACCAACATTTCTAATTCATTCTTTAGTTGGAGATCTTCTTCTGACTGTAAACATGTAATAAAGTTATCAATGCATGTTTAACGTTCTATCAAAGTATTTCGGGAGAAGGTGCGTATCGAACTTAGAGAACGAGAATTTCGAGTTTCCAGTCATAATTATAACTTAAATAAGCCCATCAATGTGGTGTAAAACTACAATGACGCCTAGGACATCCGTCGTTCAATTAAACCTACCAATTCTTCGACTTCGTCTTTTTTTTCTTTATCTTCATTAGTTTTAGCTTTACTTTCCTCCTTGACCTTTTGTTTATCCTTATTTGAAATCTCTTCAGCTGGGGGAGCATTTTTCACAGTATCTCGAGCCATATCTGTGATCAAACAAAAATTTTTAAATTTTTTTTTTTGTAATTACGATAGTTAATATACACACGTAAGCTTATCGGTACTACCGACTGATCGACGCACATTTTATACGTTTTTGAATATAAGATCTAATTCGAAAATTTTTATTCTTCCCTTTCGCCCGTTGGCTCAATTAATAAAAAAAGTAGCTAACAATGGTACGTTTTCACAAAAACAGTACCTTATAAATTTTCATTTAGATGTTTCATCGTTAATTTTATCAGATTCATCAAAAGCAAAGATTTTTTTTTTTTTTTTTATAAGAATTTAAATATTTAAAAAAAAAAATTTTTTTTTGTTATAAATTGATACCATCCATCTTGTCTGATTAAGTAAAACAAGAAATAATGAATTTGGTTGGATGAATCTATTTAGATACCATAAGAATTGATCAATTTATATAGTTCTTCGCATTTGTCAAGAATACCAAATCAAAAAAAATTTTTTTTTTTCGATATCCATATTTGATCTATGTATAAAACTCATTATATTTTAATTGGATTTATCTTTGAATGATAGGCTCGTGGACCAAGGAAACATTTAAAACGACTCAATGCTCCAAGACATTGGATGTTGGATAAACTCACGGGGACTTATGTATGTATCATTATCTTCTTCCAATTCTTTCTTATGTAGAAAGTGATCTTTATAAAGTTTTTATTGAAAGCATGGTAAACTAAATTTATCTAAATTCAACAATCAATTGTGGTTGATCGAGTAGGCGCCAAGGCCATCTCCTGGTCCTCATAAGCTCCGTGAGTGTCTACCTCTTGTTGTATTTTTGAGAAATCGCCTTAAATATGCCCTTACCAAAAAAGAAGTCCAAAGTATTCTGATGCAACGTTTTGTGAAGGTTGATGGAAAAGTTCGAACTGATACAACGTACCCTGCCGGTTTTATGGGTAAGATTTTTTTTTTTAAAAAAATAATTTTAACGACTTTTTTATTCCTTTTTTTAAATAATAATAATAATATTATTATTATTATTATTATTAATAACATATTTAATATTTAGATGTTATCTCCATCGAAAAAAATGGTGAAAATTTTAGATTAATTTATGACACAAAGGGTCGATTCACTATTCATAGAATTACTGCGGATGAAGCTAGATATAAATTAGCTAAAGTTAAAAAGGTTCAAGTGGGTGCAAAGGGAATACCATTCATTGTGACTCATGATGGACGCACCATTCGTTATCCCGATCCTTTAATCAAAGTTAACGATACAGTTAAATTAGATTTGGAGAGTAATAAAATCACCGAATTTATTAAATTTGAAGTCGGACATGTGGCCATGATAACAGGTGGTAGAAACATGGGAAGAGTTGGAGTCATTACGCATAGGTTCGTTTTACTGAAAATTAATTTTTCTTATTTTTTAAGACATTTTTAATTCCTTACAAATGGTTTATAGGGAACGGCACGTAGGTGGTTTTGATATTGTACACGTTAAAGACGTTCTTGAGAGACAATTCGCTACTCGTCTTACAAACGTTTTTGTTATTGGCGAGGGTAATAAACCTTGGATTTCATTACCAAAAGGCAAGGGTGTTAAAGTAAGTATAAAGCATCATTTCATTTATTTCATTTATGAAAATTTTTATCCGAGGTAATTAAACTATCATTTTTATTTTTTAATTACTTACTATTTTAAATTTTAAAGCTCACTATTGCCGAAGAACGTGATAGGTATGTACTACTTGTTACTATCTTATTTTAAGTATCATTTAATATACTAATAAATATATTATCTAACTTAATAGGCGTCGTGCTCAAGCATCGCAATAATAAAGAATTGAAAAATGGGCATAATGATGTATTTCTTTAAAAACCAAGTTAAATTCCGCAAAAAACTTTTATCTATATAATTTTTTTTTTTAATAAATAAAAAGTTGAAAATGTGACAAATAGGATTTGATCAATTTTATTAGTTACAATATTTTTTTTTTTTTTTTTTTGATATATTATATAAATTACTTATAAAAAGTCCTCAAATATTTATTTTTCTAAATTTCCCAAAATGCGTGAAATAAAAAAATGTAAATAGCAATTTACAGGAAAATAAGTTTATTATGTTACAATTTATAAAAAGAGAAAATGCCAAGGGTTAAAAGTTCTTAATGGGCATGAAGTTCTTATAAGATTTGTAAATTAAAATTATTCTAAAAAAAGAACCTTTGAAGAAATTAATCATCAAATAATTTGTACACTATATAAATCTAATTGTTAGTCTTCTTCTTCATCATCTGATGACATATAATCCATATCTTCATCATCGATATCATCATCTTCGTCAGATGCATACCAGAAATTTTCATCTTGATCATCGTCGGTTTGTTTCTTCTGAACAATGAAGTCATCGGCTGCAGACAAAACAGGAACGTTAAATTACACGTAAAAAAAAAAGAGAAAATATTTCAATTAAATAACTTACTGCTTGTTGGTATTTTCAAACCTTCCGGAATATCCTTTTTCGATGCCTCGACTTGAGCTATTTCAAAAACTTTGGTAAATAAAAGTGATGAAAAATCATATATACACAAAACGTTCTCGAACACTCACCATGAACAATACCATTATAAGAATCACGATCTGTACGGTACATAACCTAGAGAGATCCAGATTCGAATTGTGAATAACACGATTCCTACTTTGTGAAAGATCTGAATATAACAAATATACATACCCCAGCATCCTAAAGAAACAGAACGCGTATTTATTAGTTAACGTTAAGTTATATTAATGGTTTTATTTAATAAATAAATACTTACCACATTAGCTGGACTTGAGCAATTAGGATCCCCCATAAGGCTAACGATGCTGATTAGAATACCTATTATACCAATAGAAATGTTAGCCATGGTTCACGCTCGAAAATATAAAATTAAACCTAAATTTGGCATACTTTCAACGCTTTGAGTGGGATTCCAACGTTCCTAAAGGCATAAAAAGAGCACTTATTTAGTTTTACATTCATATCATTAGACATCTTATATGTAGCTTACAGCTGCAGTTTCTCCACTGGTTGGATCATCAACTGGTGGGTGAAGAATAGATATGCAAAGTCTTCCGTCTGAATAAACTAAAATTTATGCAATCAAAGAATTAACAAAGAATATCAAGGTTCATTATAATTAGATTAATCAATTCATACCATTGGGATGGAAAAACTCATTATTGAATTTAAACGTCGGTGGGTTAAATGGATAATCATCTGGAAATTTGAGAGTTGCCTTAAATAAAATAGTATCAGTTTTGCAATCGCTTCTTTACTTGAAACTTAATATGGTAGCTTATATATAAATACCTTAAAGTAACCGCCCTCGTAAATAGTTTTAGGTGCACCGATAATACCTACGTCCCTGTAAATCAAAATAATTAAGAATAAAGAAACTTATATATTTAAGAAACGGATTAGAAAATTGAATGAACTAAAGTAAGCTACCATTCAAAAACATCGTCATCCTGCAAAGCGACTGTAAACCCTGGTACAGGATTACTTGTAAGTTCTGCTCATTAAAAATGATATTTATTAGAAATGATAAAATATTTGTCGATTCCAGTTTATATAGATGAGGGAAACCAATTGGAAGAAACACGCACCTTTAAACTGTTTCAATAAGATGTTGGCGGCACTAGACATTGTCATTGGCTGGTTTGAAGTTAAAAAAGCAAAGAAGAGTGTAAGGTCTTTCAAAAAATTCCAAGTTATTTTAGATTTTTTTTTTTAATATAATTCTTCACAAGAGTATAAAGAAAAAAAAGAAAATAATTTAAATATGTCCCGAATAATTTAAGAAACAAATCGCTTTTTGATAAGAAATGAAAAGTCTGCAACACGTGACAATTTATGTAACACCAAGTTTTATGGTCTATTTATAGAGAAGTCGAATATATTTAATATATTTTGAGAAGATTGATGAAAAAAAGTGATAACAATGAATAAATAGTAAATTAGTAATGGTACCCAATAATAACATCGCTTTATTCAATTGGCTATTATAAAACTGATGCTAGTTCCTAAATTTTCCTTTATATAATAATTTTATAAATTAAAATTCATTAAATAAGATTGTTTTTAATATATTTAATATATTACTACTCAATTATAAAAATAATTAAGTTTAATATTACTAAATAAAAATATTTATTTAAAATAAATTTCTCTAATAATTATAAATAAATTTAAACCATTTAAGCTAATATATTATTATTAATTTATACTAAATTAATTAGATTATAATATAACTTTACCAATCAAATCTAATTCTAAATTGTAAAATAATTATATTAAGTGTATTTTCATAATCCTACTATTGTAGTATGATTTAAATATGACTTCATAATCTTGTTATTATAAACTAGTTGTTATTTATAATCTGATTTATAAATAATATATGATAATATAGTTTACTTATAATGATATAATTTAATTATCAGTTTGTTTTCTACTATTTTAGATTTCTTCTATAAATTTCTCTTTATTAATTTTTAATTTTGGTATAGTTAATTGTGATATTTATAATCTAACATTTAATTGTTTTTTATATATTTTGATTTCATTTATAATTTTTATATTAATAAGTATTTAATATGTTTAGTTTCATTTTTGTAATTATATATTATTCAACAAAATTTATTATTAAAAAATAAAGGTAAAAGATTTTAATAATAATAAATATATTTACCAATATCTTTTAAAAGTAAGAAAATATATATAAATAAATTTGTAATTGATTAGAAGAATATAAAATTAATTTATATATGTTAAATCAAGAAATATACTATTTTTTGTTTCTATAATATTTTAATAAATAGTATTATGTTAAATTAATACTATAATTAAATTATAATATATTAATAATAGTTTAATATTACCTTTATATTATTCTTTTAAATTTTTAAGCTAATTGATTATATTTTTTTAATTTACTAGAAAATAAAAACTATTATTAAATTCAAAATGTTGTTTAGACTTTTGTGCAATTGTAAATGCCAATCAGCATTGACTCAATTATTAAATAAGTGGATAACAGGATATCTCATTTAACTTTAGACCTATACATATATAGTCCTTTATTTTATTTTAAATTAATTACATAATATTATCATTATTATAAAAGTTATGATTTTACTATATTAAATTTTTATAATATACTAGTTACTGTGCAACAGGAGTAAATTATATAATATTACATATATTTTTAAAGAAAAAATTTATGTAACTTATTTTGCATAATTATATCACATTTTTCTTAAGAAGTATTTTCCTTTTTTTGAAATTTGTATAATAATATTTAATTTAATAATTTTTTTATACAAATATTCTAAATATTATAAATTTTTAATTAAATAGATTTATATTACTTATTCTAGATTATTTTCAAAAATTCTAAAAATTTAAAGATTACATAAAGATAATTTTATAATTGACTTGTAAAAATTAAAGTATACTTTATAATAATAGATAATATTATTATATATTACTTTTTTTAATCTTAAAATTTCCTATTAATAAAAATAGTACTATAACTAATTACAACTATATAATGTTTATTTATTACTGTTGCAATTAGTTACAACTCAATTTTTGTTAATATTACAACTAATTATAAATCTGTAATACTTATTTATTATCAATTATAACTAGTTATAATACTATTTTTACTTATTAATAATTATAAACCTAATTAGCTTTTTTTAATAACAATATTTATTTTATTATATTTAATATAAGTATTATAAGTATTATTTTTAAATAAAAATTAATTTTTTAAATTTTTTATAAAAATATATTTAAGAAAAATTCTAATATATTTAATATTTTATTAATTAATAGCATTTACATAATGTAAATTTAGGAGCTTTAGAATAAAATCTCTTCAATTGTATGTCAAGTTTTTAGAATTTCAAAAATTACAATAGCGGTCATAAGTATCCAATTGTCTCTAACTCTGGCTATAAGTAAGTAAATTCAAAAATTTTTTTTTTATTTAAAAAATACATAATCAACTAACTAAAATTAATACATTGTGTAGT